TAAGGTCTGAAAAGGTTAACACCAAAGATGTGTGGGCTGTGTTCTCACCAGGACCTCAGCTTCCTCTTCTGAGCTCCTGTAATAGGACAGAATTCAGTTTTTCCATCTCTCGAAATCTCCAATGCCTGACTACCTCTCACCTAGAGGTTGGTTTCTTTTCCTAGAGTCTGGCTGTAGTTTTTGACACATTTAAAGTGTGCATAACCCTACCGCATGGGCAGTTCACTACCTATCGTTGGGCTTCAATTCCTCCGTGACCTGTAAGAATACATCTCTCTGATGTCTTCCTCTCTGAACAGAGAAAACTCTTTACTTTTAAAGAGATCTACTGATTAGGTCAGACCCACCCCAGATAATCTCCCTTTGACACATAATGCAACAAAATCAATGCACTATCCACATAACCAGCTCTAATTACATCCAGGGAAGGGGTTATGTAGGGTTTTATACTGTGGGGCAGGGATCGTGAGTATCATTTTAGAGTTCTGCTAACACAGTATACTAAGGAAAGAAATGGAAAACCCTGTCTTGAGATAGTACACAGGGTGTTCACAGAAGTTCTTAGCCATAGCACCAATTCTGTCCCAGTAGCTCCACAGGACCCATTTTATCGTTACATTCTCTCTTTACTGCAGGCTGCTTTCTCTGTCTGCCCACAATTGCTGCTTTCAATAGAGCAAGTGGACCCCTTAGTGAAATGATTTAAATTTAAAATGACATTAAAGTACAAAGATGATTTTAGATAAAAACATTTTTTCCCTAAGCCCAATGCCTCAAACTCTAGCACAGTAAATGTCTGCCTTTGGTAAAAGGAAATGAAGGAATGTGAAGAAAAGGGTTAATTTAGCAGGTGTAAAACTGTTATCCTTCGAAACCATAGTTTGCCAAATAACTTGTATTTGGGCGTGTTCCCCCCACTCTCATGATAAGATTGACTCACTGTGCCTTAATTGTGTGAGCAGTATGGTGTCTGTTGGATACCTGCTCTTCCTGTGGGAGTCTAGCATGTCCTACAGTCCAAGAAGTTGGAGTATAAGAAGAAGACTGAGATATGCAGATAATACAACTTTGCTCACCAAACTCGAAAGCCGTTTGAAAGGCTTACTGATGAAAGTCAACAATGATTGCCTGCAGTAGGGATTCCACCTGATCATGAAGACAAAACAAACAAACAAACAAAACCCCCCACAATGGAACTAATAAACCACATCATGATAAATAGAAATACAAATTAAAGTTATTATTGATTTCATTTTATTTGGACCAATAATCAGCTTCTATTGAAGGAGAAGTCATGAAATTCAATGATGAGCAAGAGCTATCTTTAAATTGCTTTAAAAAGCCCAACATTTTGAGGATTCAGGTGCTCCTGACTCTCACCAGGGTCTTTTCGATCTCCTCACATGCAAGTAAAAGCTGGAGAGTGAGAAAAGGAAGACGGAACAATTGACACTTTACATTGTGGTGTTGGCAAAGAGCAGGGGACATAGCTTGACCCGCCAGGAACTAAACAAGTACGTCTTAGAGGCAGCACAACTAGGACACGTCTTAAGAGTTGGAATGAAGACACTTGAGCTTGCTTACTTTGGCCATATCATCAGGAAGATCAATCTCTATAAAAGAACACCACGTTTTATGAAGCAGAGGATCAGTGCAGTGAAAAGAAACCCCCAGTGGTAACATATCCGCCATGATGATGGCATGGGACTGTGCAATATTTCCTTCTTTATACTTAAAGACGCCAGGGGTCAGAGCTGACTTGAAAGCAACTAACAACAGTGACAGCTATAGGCACCTATAGCCTGGTCCCCAGTAACAACCTAAGCCCTGAGTGTCTAATGAGCTTCCACAATAGTCTATGTTACATACACATTGCTAAGAAGTTAAGTGAGTCTTGTGCAATTCTACTGCCAGTGGGATCTTGGGAGCATTAGTCTGGTATTCATTTCACCCCGGTACCTTTTCCTTGGCTGATTTTGCAGTCTACCCCATTGTTGTAATAAGACATAACCATGAGCACTATGTGCTGAGTCCCATGAGTCCTTGCAAGCCATCAAACCTGGGAGTGGTCATGTTGACCTTGACAAAAAGAATAAAAGAACCAAGACTGCAATCATTTTCACATTCTGTGTTAGACTCCAATGCTCCGCACCCTGGACCATAATCCTCTTGATCATGAGGAGACTCAGAGCTCATGAATAAAGACATAAGGAGGGTCTCACTGGGGTGCAAAAGAGTCTGGCACTGTCCAGATTAGTGTGCCAACCTCACCTTCTGATCTGGGGGAAGTTACCTAAATTCAGTCAATTTCAAGCCCTTCATCTGTGAAACATGGGAGGACCAATACTCACCCCAGGGGGTTGTGAAGAGGAAGCAAGCTTCCGTGGAAAGTGCTGAGCCCTGTAATTGATGTTAGTGACTTAGAGGGGCCTAGCTAGATTAGATACTCTGAAAACAGCACCACTGACACATCACCAGTAATCCAACATTCGCCTCCTCTCTCACCCCTCTGCTCCCCTTTCTCCTCAACATCACTGGCCTACTCCCTTTTCTTAGTTATCCCGAGCTCCTTAACATTCAAACCACCCCTTCCTCATTTACTACCTTTCTTTAAGTGCTGCATGCAAACCATATGCAGGAATGTTTTTCTTTAAGCACTTACTGTTTTAATT